TGTCACCTGCCTTCCACCGGCCCTCTTTCTTTTCTAGCGCCTGCCTTCCGTTTGCCTCTTCCTTTCCTGACAACTGCCTTCCACTTATTTGTTTCTGGCATCCTCCTTCCGTCCGCCCTGTTCCTTCCCTAGCACCTGCCTTCCGCCTGCCCTCTTCCTTTCCTGCCACCTATCTTCCGTCTGCCATATTTCTTTTCTTGCACCTGCCTGCCGTCTGCCCGACTTCCCCCTAGCTGCTAGCTAGGCGATGGACTCAGACTCGGAAAAAGCCCTCAAAGAACAACTAGCACAGCTTTACCAAAAGAAGCAGCACAAAAAACAGAAGGAAAGAAATGCAAAAAAAAAGAAGAGGAAACCAAGCTTATCGAAGCTATCAAGGCTGTGAAACCAGGCGACAAATCATTGCGCACCGTCTCGAAATCCGTTTTGGGTCATGCTCGAGCCCGGTACTCCAACCCAAACAACGCTCTCGGCGTCGAACAATGCACCATTCGTGTCTTTGTGGGCGTCGTCCGTCACGTCACGTGTCGGGAATTGTCTCTTTACCCAGCGGTTGTGAAGATTTTTGAACGCAACTTCCATTTCCTGCATTACTCTGACTGGGCCCCGATTTTTGAATCCCTCTGCTCCAAAAAAGAAGGGGAACTGGCCCAACGCTTTCTCGATGGTAGGACAGCCCTTTTTTCCAGCGTAGGTTGTGCGCATGCTGACCGCCTTGCTAGAAGTGTATGCCCACATCAAACTCGCAGGCCTGTTGCCGCCCGGCGACGTCCCATCCCTCCCGCCAGCACGCCCGTCACCGGCGCCCTGTCCCCTCGACGGCGTTGTCTCCACTCCTTCATCGAACGTGTCTCGCAACCGAAGCAATGGCGCATCCACAGGTAAGCGACTCTGCCCCTCGGCAATTTATCTGGCGCCGTCTAACTTGCAATTTTGGCACGCAGACTCGTCCCCCTCGTCCTCCGTCGCGAACACAATCGCAGCACCTCAGCCCCGGCTCGGAAATGCCACCACGCCAGCGACAACCCAGCATGCTCCCTCCGGGCCTTCGCAGGGGAAGCGGAAGGCACTCCAGGCGTCTGGGCAGCGTAAGCGACGCCGGGGCAGCGGCCCCACGCGCGGTATGAATGACCAGCGTTTGAATTT